TCAAAATTTTTGCGGAAACAAAGACGCCTACATCTTGGATGCCCTTGAGGTAAGATAAAACATACCAAAACTTAATTTCAAAGTGAACTATCCCTTTAAATCTCCGAGTAGGCCGCTCACTAGGGTTTGGAACACAGCCTGATGTGAACGACGAACATGGATTCATTCAGCGCCGCTGCTGAGACTGAAGACCATCTGAGCTCTTGCGGTTTGCGTCAGGAGATTTCTCCTCCCTACCGTATTATGCTAAGTAGAACACTTTAGCTCCTTCAGACCGAACTCTATTAGCATGATTTATGTGGATGTGAAGCCATTCTGTATGTCATCGGTGTAAACAAGAGTAGGCCTTCGCCAAGTCATATTTTTAACCTCACAACACACAAGATGCAGATACCGTTTTATTATATATTTTTACATTCTTTTTACATTTACATTTTTTCATTTAGCTGACGCTTTTATCCAAAGTGACTTACAATTGCTATATATGTCAGACGAGCAACTAGGGGTTAAGTGTCTTGCTCAGGGACACATTGGTGTATCGCAGTGGATTCGAACCCGGGTCTCTCACACCAAAGGCATGTGTCTTATCCACTGCGCCATCACCACCCATATATATTCATATTATATGTATTGCATATTTATATTTATATTTTAATAGTATATATGAAGAGTTCAGATGCAAAAGCCTCTAAATGCCATTTGAAATTTTCTTCTTTAATGATGATTTTTATGAAACCTGTATATTTAAGTTCAGTAATTTCACTTAAATAACAATTAATAGGTAATTATCATTGCCATTTAAGTGAAATCACTGAACTTAAATATACAGGTTTCATAAAAATCATCATTAAAGAAGAAAATTTCAAATGGCATTTAGAGGCTTTTGCATCTGAACTCTTCATATATATATAATATTTATTTATTGTATATTAATGTAATTTAAAATATACAATTATTTACTTAAAAAATACGGTAACACTTTAGTTTAGGGTCCAATTCTTAAAGTAGTTGCTTATAAGCATGCATATTACTGGAATATTAGCTGTTTATTAGTACGTTTAAAGCACATATTAATGCTCTATTCTTCATGACCATATTCTACATCCCTTTCTCTTACCCAATACCTAACCTTAACAACTATTAATAAGCTGTAGTTAGCAGTAATTAGTAGTTTATTGAGGCAAAAGTCTTAGTTAATGGTGAGAATTGGACCCTAATCTAATGTATGTACCTACATTAAAATAAAACCCAATTACTATGAATAGATTTCTAAATGTATAGATTTGCTTTGCATAAAATATTCCCCTTATACAAGAGTGCTGTATTTCATTAAAGTATTTCATGGACTTTCCAAGCGGATTAAATGAGTGCCGTGAATGGGATAGGTAGCTAATAAAATGATCTGTTGAGCATGTTGCTTCAGGACTTCCTTCTGCCACTCGGCTCATCCAGAGAGATTGGTTCTCTCTCTCCTGTCGAGTGTTTTGACTGGGCTGCGTGTAATTAGATTGTGTTTAATCCTTGCCTTCGCTTCAAAGAGAGCTGCTAAATTTGATTGTGTGTCTGTCGCTGGTCTTCTGCAGGGAGCCACATCTTCACACAGGAGAGCCGATGTCTATCTACAGCACTGCTTAGCTGTCCTCTGAGACGCTTCTCGGCGCCATTTTCTTACGTTTATGCTACATCAGAATGAATCAGGCAGGATATTTCTCTTTTTTCAGGTTTGCATGCTTGTTAAATGGCTAGTTCTTCCAAAAAAAGCACAACATGCGATATAGAAGTCATTGGTATGACTCATGTGCTTGTGAAACTCTTTCTCTAAGTTGTCTTGCATTCTGCAACACAAGCTCTCTGGCGATTTCTACCTGTCATTTACCCAGAATCACTTATACACGCACTTCAACTCTCATTGCACTTTAAGATGGCCATCCGCCCACTGGAGACAAAAACGCTCTGAGAAGCGCTTAACAGACTGACCTTTACACACTCAGACGCACTTTTCTGCTCCGGCTCCTCCTGCATCTCTCTTAAATTCACTCGGCTGCTTTGAAATGATAGGATGGCGTTTTGTCGTATTGTTTGTGTTCGTCCTGTCTATTGAAAAAGAACTCCATCTATACCTTTAAGTGCTGCGACACAGGTTCTCAGACCACCTGAAGTCAACTGTGATGCCAATTTTAGTTGCCATTATTTACTCTCTCATGCCGTTCTGAACCTATATAATGTTGTTTTTACTATAAATATCCACCTTATTCCTACGCCGCATGACGCTTTGCGCGAATTATAGATGTAACTTCTGTTAAGTAGCAAACAATCAGTGGAAGTCTCGCTCTACACACTTAGAAGAAAAGGTTCTATATAGAACCTTAAAAGGTTCCATCAGCGCTACGTATTTGGAACCCATAAAAGGTTCTATACACTCTTAAAAAAGGGTTCCTCTGGGTTCTGTATAGAACCCTGGGGTTCCATACTTGGCCAATAGAGCCTTTTACCAAAAAAAAAATGGTTCTATATAGAACCATTTTGGAGTTCCATATATGAAGCGGGAGATGGAACCATTTCTGGTTCTAAATAGAACCATTTCTTCTAAGAGTGTATGAACGCAATACGCTAAAAAGTGTCATGAGATTACATTAATCGACTCAATCGAACATTAAAATTAAATTTTAAAAGTGTAAAGAATCAACAAGGTACTTTCAACAGACCAAAAATAGCCCTAAATGCGCGAGTCTTTCGTTAAATATGATCGGATTCACATATAGAGCCTAAAACGCGTGGAAAACGCTGAGCGCACCACGTTGTCCTTTTTCCAAAGCGCTAGGGCGGTTGCGCTCCGGTTGCGCTCCGGTTGGTTCTTGTCACGTGACCTACTGTGCGCTTATGGTGCGCTCGTGGCATTCTGAAAAGTTGAGATGTTTTTATCTCGATGCGGCGCGGACACGCTTGGAAAAACCATCGCTTCCATTATGAGCGCGCATACCTACATTTAAAATAACGAACTTGAGCGCGCAAAAGACGCCATATGTGAACAGGCCCGATCACTGTTGTTTGCAAATATCTGTATTACGTAAAAAGCATTAATCAATAATGTTCATTAACTTTATGAATTGCATTTACCCGTGAAAACAAACCTGGAAAGAGACGTGAGGATTTGAGGAGAATAACGAGAGATTCTTCGTGCATTCCAGTGAATTATTAATGGAATATCGTAAATTAAATTCGGGAGAAAAGACCACAAATGTGCCATATACGTTGTCCTTTTTCATTCTTTTACAGCGGATTGCAAAGAAAAAAAAAAAATCATCATGAGGAAAAGGAATATCTCTTGTCAAAGATATTCTTGTTATAATGTCACGTTAAAATACCAAGTATAACATTATTTTCATGATGTCTGAAAATAAATTAAGGAAAATTGACAGTTCATCCAGTCAAACTGACGATCAGCTTTTTTTGTAGTGATGATTCGTTTCAGTCTTTTTGAATGGAAGTTCCCCAAATCGGAAATGCCGGCCATAATTCAAAATGTGTTAAAGTCCCCGTGAACCGGAAGTTGCAAACGATTTTTCTCCAGTGCTGTGACGTATTTCCAAGTGAAACGGAATATTGAACAGAGGGCAGGGTTTTACTCTAGCGCTCCTCCTCTCCATCTCTCGCTCATAGCAAACTAACGGTTTGAGGGGAGTGGTTAAGCGTTTCCCCACCCAAGTTGTGAAACCTACGTCATCAGAAAAAGAAACCGTTCCAGACCGGAAGTAACTTTTCAGATTTTGATTAAAGATTACCAAGGTAAAACATTTTTTAAATATATTTTTACTTGCGCGGATTAATTGTTCACCACAAGACTAGTAATATGCGCTAACAAAGTAAATAGGTTCAATTTTGATTTCACGGGGACTTTAAGTTCGTTAGGAATAATGTGGATACGTGATTCAATTTTATACATTTTTTTTTCCCCATGCAATGATTGTTCATACACTGCAGATATGAGCACTGTATCTAAAAATATTAGTATTTAAGTATCTAAAATACTTGCGTAAGGAGGACTTGAGGACCACAACTAATATTATTTTTAGGGCTGTGCAAAAATTAATCACATCCAAAATAAAAGTCTGTGTTTACATAATATATGTGTGTGTGCTGTATACATGCATGTATATATTTAAGAAAATGTGTTATTCATGTATAAAATATTTATATTTATATAATATAGATTATGTATTTTTATATATATACAGAATTTAAGCACAAATAATTCTTAAATCTATACATGCATGCATAGGTATTTATATATACAAAATAATTATATACAGCACACACAAATATATTATGTAAACACAGACTTTTATTTTGGATGCGATTAATCACAATACATTTTTGCACAGCCTTAATTATTTTAGATATTACCATGTATATATGTTGATTTTACCTTGTGTAGATGACAGATTCTCTTGTTTTAAGTGAAATAAAGTTGTAATACTGTGTGCACTGCAGTGCTGCTTTTCAACTATATTTGTTGTGCAATAACCAAACACAATTTTATTATTTTTTTAAATCTTTATTCTAGCCTCTAGCTACAGCGGAGTCCGTGAATAAAGATTAGCATATTGTTTTGTTTTTTCAAGTCTAATGGACACTTTTATGGCACTTTAAGGATGTTTTCTTGTCCTTAAAATTTTATGAACTCTTGTTAAATGCAAAAGATACAGATTCCACAGAAAAAAAAATAACATCATGATGTGATTTGGACACGGCCTCAAGTAAAAATGACTTTTAATATTCGAATGAGATATTCCTTTAAATCCATAGAAAGTCGTCCCGTGCTCTGTGACGAGGGTGTCCCACTAAGGTCCTTAATCTATTCCCGTCGGCGAGAGTATTTCCTCTCCTTTATCTTGCTCATTACTCACACAAGCTGTGATTAGGCTGAAGTTGATCTTTGTAAGCTCAGCATGCTGTTGTTGCTCACTCGCTCTGGCTTTAAACAAAATGCAGCAACCAACCTGTAAATAATGCATGCGCTGTTCCGACACGTGTCGCAGTTGGCCGTGTCCTGTCCGGTCCGATAGGAGAGCCTGTGAGGAGATAAAGAGAGAGGACGAGTCATTACACAGGCTGTTTGGCCGCTCCGCCTACCCGTTCACCGCTCCCTCGTTCACTCTGTCGTTCCTCATTATCAGCTCACGGTCAATACACGGCACGCGGTGGGAAAGAGATGTTAGCATTCTTCACACCCCGCGTTCTGCAGAGGACACTCAGGACGCCGACTGTGTTTGTGAGTGTAATCAGGAATGAGAGAACAAAACGGCCTTGAAATTTTTGTACGGAGACGCTGCAGAAATGTCAACGCACAACATTGTGCTGCTTTTGATGCTGTGTGATAACAGGAGGTAAAAAGTGCTGATACGTATGGCGTATAGCTCTGTTCTAGACTCTACACTGGAAAAAAAAAATATGTTAAATTAACGGGGAAAAAACTGAGTTTTCCTGTTTAAAATACGGTAGCAACATTTTAGGTTTAACAGACTTTTACCATATATAATTTTACAGCAATAAACCGATTTTCATTATCTGATATAATGTTAATTTACTGACCTTTTAAAGTATTAATTTCTGTTTTGTTCCATTGTAATACACTCACCCCCATGTCATCCAAGATGTCCACGTCTTTGTTTCTTCAGTCGAAAAGAAATTAAGGTTTTTGATGAAAACATTCCACGATTTTTCTCCATAAAATGGACTTCAATGGGAACCAAATTCAAATGCTTGCCTTGCTCTGTTTTGTGATGAGCGTTTGTGACTCTCCTGTTCAAACTGGTTCATAAAAATTAACATTTTTTTTTTTTGAGTGTCGTTGGTGTCGTTTAAAGCCCTTTGAAGCTGCACTGAAACTGTCATTTGGACCTTGAACCGTTTGGTTCCCATTGAAGTCCATTATATGGAGAAAATCCTGGAATGTTTTCATCAAAAACCTTGATTTCTTTTTGACTGAAGAAAGAAAGACGCGGACCTCTTGGATGACACGGGGGTGAGTAAATTATGAGCAAAAGTTTTTTTTTTTTTTTTTTTTTTTTTTAAGTGAGCTTTTCCTTTAAATGACAAATCTAAGCTCATCATAATCAACTCTTTTACAAAAACATTAATACTAATATACAGAATCTGCACAGTGTCATTCACAAAAACATTAAACGATAAAAACGATAAACCTTAATTTAACAACATAAAATGTAACGTAAAACCCTAATGTACATAAAAAAATAAGAAATTTATTTAAAAAAAAAAATACATTAAATGTGAAGTGTCATGCAAGGGATTGTGGGAATGTCAGTTTAAATTTTTTCACTGTAAATTATACAATGACTTATTTTTTATGAAATGTAATGGTATTTTACAGTAAAATAATTATTTAATATATAAATACCATTATATATCACAGTTATTTATCGTATATAGTAAGGAAACTTTCTGTTAACCGATTATGTAGAGTTTGCGTTAGGCAGGAGTGTTTTGGTGTTATCAGACTCGTTCGCTGCAGTGCCGTCGAATAGACTGTATATAAAGGAGAGAGGCTCGGGAGCGTGCATATCCAACCCGGAGACTTCACATAGAAACAGGAACACTGGCCTTCAGAGGTAATAGCAAAACCCGACAAGTGGATCATTGTAATGTGTGATTACAACCCCACACACACAGGCAATAAAAAGAGGATTCATTTCAGAAGAAAAATTACATATAGCCCCTTTAAAATATAACATACTCTTATTTTATTTTATTTTCAGTAACACTGAGCTCACCACAAAGCTTGGCTGCCTACATAGACATATACACTAGACCTCACCTTGGGGTTCTATCCATGCGTCAAAACCGCCGCCATCTTGGAACAGGGGTCTTGTCATAGGAAGTAGCTAGGTAACGCTGCTATCTCTGCCTTTACTTCGAATTCATTGATGGTGGCGGACTTTTGTGCAGCGTATGATGTTCACGGATGAAATCTGAACTAGGAAGAATGTTTAAAAAAAAGTAGATTTTTTTTTTCTTTCTGGAATCAATGATAAATACATGACTGACCGTTGGAACAAACCAAAAAAAAAACAAGAAAAATCGCATTCATGATGATTTATGGTGATTTTATTTCCGTTAGACCTGTGTCTACTACAGTACATTGACGCTGATGCATTAAAGTGGAGGGGCTACCCTGTTTCAAGATGGCGGCTCTTTTGACGCATTCGTTCCAATGAACTGCCGTAGCCAAGGTGAGGTCTAGTGTATATGTCTATGGGCTGCCTATTAATATCCTTCATTTCAGGAGTGAGCTTAAAATCCGTCCACCCTTTTGACCTTTAACCCTGTACACAATTCACAGGAACATGATTTGACATTGCCCAACAGGAGTTATATCCACTGCACATGTAGTTTGTATGTTCACACGAGCCTCCGGCCTCTAGAGGAACATGGAATATGATCTGACAGTAGAGTTCATGGCTGCTTTTAGCACTCGGGAATGACCACTGAGACTCTACCCTCGGCTTAAGTCCTTCACAGAATCCTCTGGGTCGGACCCGAGGGGATGATGATATCATTTGCTTGATGCGATCATCCTCAACTAAAACAGGCGGGCGGAAACGGAAAGTTCAGTACCTAAACCAGTGCCAGTTTCTCACTTTCATCAGTCGTTTTTTTTTTTTTAAGCTGTATAACTTTGTATGTAAATATTTGATTCAAAGCAAATTATAATCAGCCTAGAAGTGTGTAATGTTTGTTGAAGCGGAAAGCTGTGTTCCTGAATTACTTCATCGCTGTTTTGTACATCAGCAATCAGCGTCACGTCGGCACTCTTAACAGCATGAAAAACAAAACTGTTATTCAAATGCTGAATAAATTATACATAATACTAGAATGCATTTCATTATAGTCACTTCACTGTCACTCACTGGAGTTTTGCACACTTTCCTTACAGTTCAGCACTCACTCATTAACTGACCAGATGAATCTTCAACACCGCGCTAAAATAGTTCATATCTTGCTCAAAGTTGTGCATGAGAGTTTTCAGTGTGAATTGAACGTTATTATGACTAGAAAACATGTCTTGCTATTGACTTTCTTGAAAGTTAGTTATTACTATTCAAAAGTATTGTAAAAATATCATTGTAATTTAAAAGAACAGTCTTCAGATCCATCAAATCCTTCATGATCACTCTAATATGCTGATTTGAGAAACATTTCTGATTATTATCAATGTTGAAAACGGTTGTGCTGCTTAATATTTTTGTGGAAACGTTTTGCAATTATTTGAAATGGCTTTTGGGACATTATCCACTTATCTACCACTTAAATGGTAGATACCTCAGTTTGTTTTCATGCCAAAAGTTCAAAAGATAGAATCCATTCAATTATTTTGGAAAAAAAAAGGTCTGAAAAGTTTGAAATATCAAGAAAAAAATAATAAATTCACCATTTGTGACGTGGCAGCTAGCTATGACTTCTTAGAGGTTCAATTCATTTCAAAATCTGCCAAACTTCCCGTACTACTTCTGAATAGGATGTCTACTTCAGAAATTGTATGAAAATTGTGAAAATAATGGTTCATATCACTCAAAACACGAATGGAAATGCAGACGCCCTTATATGGGCAGTAATGGAGTCTGGTTGTGCCCTAGTGAAAAAGTTTGGTACTGCGCTCAAACAAAATCTTACTGAAAGCTCATTTTTTGAGATATCAACCTAAAATTTGAAACACAACTTGTTCAGATTTTTGGCTTTGATCTTTCTGCCGTTTTAGAGTAGCCCAGGTTTTGAAAATATATATTTTATGTAAAATATGAATAATTAATATTTTTACATTGTACATTTCCATAAACTCAAACTTCTATAACTTTTTTTCTGTTTCACTTTCTTAATTTAATTTAAAAATCTGCCAAATGTCTTCTTTAAAACAAGACCAATCATATGTCTATATTCCAAAGCATTCTTGAATTACAACCATTTAAGTTCGAAATGTGCATTTTCATGTCTATTCAAAAAAAGGGGGGGGGGGGGGGGGTGACAGTTAAGAGGTTATAAATTGTCTTCACTCTCACTTTTGATCAGTTTAACCCTTGTATGGTGTTCGGGTCTGTTGGACCCGTTTTCATTTTTTATCAAAAGAAAAATTATACAATTAATTATTTTTTTCAAACTCGGACTCATTGGCCTTGGCTCATTTTATGTGAAGAATATATATATCAGAACACATTTTCAATGAAAACACACTGTACTGCTTGTAATTGGGATGATGGAAACATCTGTTGAGTATTTTAACATAAATTTTTTGACTGTGTTGAATTAAAAACCCCAAAATGCAGCGGGTCCACCAGACCCACGAACACTGGCTGAATAACAAAAATATGAACACCACACAAGGGTTAATGCTTCCTTACTGAAGTATAAATATCCTTAAAACGAATCAATCAGAGCGGTATCATCTCATTCGCTTTCTAACATACTAGTTCAAATGAATATTGGTGATCTCTGTCTCTTGGGTTAATAATTCATTATAAAGTTTTGTGTAGTGAAGTTCATCAAACTTAAATGGATAAAAGGTTGTTTTTATGACTGGAGAATATAAAAAATCTTGTAAATATAAAACTTTGAAGCTGTATGTATGTGTAATGCTTGTCGTTTTAGAGGTATATTGGTGATCTTTTGTCTGGTAACTCAATTCCTTCCTCGCAGTGAACAGTAGTCAGTGTTTACATCTGATTCTTAGTCTCTTGCTTTGAATATGCCCTGTTTACCCCTTGAGCTGGAGTTCCTGAGCTGAATATTTCTAACATTAATAAATGTTAAAACAAATATTCTTTCGTCAACATGTTTTCACTGCCGGTGGCGGTAACATATCGTCTTTCTAAATCCATCTCTGTGAAATTTCAAGAAGCTGCACTTCCAGGTTCGCCATTAGTAATTACCGCCTGTCGCCCGAACAATTGCTTTGCTGGCAAGAAGGCGACCCATCGACCCCTCCATCTTGTCCCGTGATGAAGGGCCAATGTCAGGCTGACAGGGAGCCGACGGAGTGATCAATAGCTCTGATGTTGTC